TCTTGAATCTTGAAGATAAAATTGTGGTTCATGAAACACATTGCAAAATATTGGACTTGGAATACCTAGCGGTATGTATACCTAGGACCATACATAATGGAACATTAACAAAATTTGTCAAAATGACTTGTAACCCAATTGTTCCATCCTAGACATACAATCCACCCTCGACAATGACTGTAAGGGAGCAGGATTTACTACAGGATACCTGGCGCTATCTAAGAAATGCAGAAGAAATTTGCTTTCAGCAATCTTTTCAAGTAAGCATCCAATTTTGTATATCTATAATCAAGCTACAATTAAGTGACACATATAAGACAGTGAGAAAGGCATTTGCCTCTCAACTGAGACGTAACAATCTAGAGCAGGCCTGTCAAACTGGTGGTCCGTGGGCCGGATGTGTCACACGCAGGCCACTACCACGCTACCCCCACAAAGGCAAACAAAACACGTGACACTGACATGATCAAGGTTGACACCTGTTATGTAGAGGCTCATTTTGACATGGAAGCAACTGCAGTGTTGGAGTAATTCTAGCTCATACTTCATTTTGATGCTGTCCTTATAAAACCTGAATAGAAATATTGTGTACTTTTTAAAAAAGAAGGTTCCGCAGCATATATAAAAATATAATAGTAAGTATACAAAATACATAGGCACTGCAGATGCTTTATTAGAAACCATTTCCGATTAAATTTCATTATTTTTCATTTAGTGTCAAGTTTCATGACACAGCACTCTATTTGTGGATCTGAATTCAAAATTCTGGGTCTGCGCAGTACAATAGTGCAGCTTCATCAAAGAGAAATAAAGTCTAACATTACATTGTCAGTAAGCCAATAACTCTTATATAGTATACCTGTGACCGTGTTACACATTCAGAACTGAAATATATTTGAACGTTAGTATTCATTCAGAGCTTTTAATCTATCAATTTGACAAAGCACTATTTTGCACTCAGTCTATATAAACAATTGTCTGTAATCATCAAGTAATGAAACTGCCTTTTGGAATAACTATGCAGAATTTTTTTTTCACTGAAGACTAGAAAAATGACATTTCCTACACAAGCAGACACATCTAAACTGTTTTGTTGCATGCCTAAGATCCTTCATTGAGAGAAGATTTGCCCGTATAACTTCATATTGCTTCTTTGATGTCTATATTTGATTTCTTGTTTGAAATTCCTGTGGCTTTTGATGCTACTTTGGTACTGTAGGCATGCCCTAAAGGGCAAGGGACTTTTCAATTTGCTTGGATGTACTTGCATCTGAAGACAGTTAGCCTCTGTTTCATTTCAGGTGTACTGTAAGGGTCAGAATATTCAGAAAGCTTCACTCCATTCTTTATTTTAAGAGGCTTCTTAGAGTTAAGCACAATCTAGTTGTGGCGGAAAAGTTTAAGGCCCATCCATGTCCAAAGATGGAAAAATACATAAACTGGTATTGTAATTGGAAGCAGCAGGCTGTAGAAACATATGCTTGTTGTACTTGTGCAGCCCTGGGGGAAGTTTTCATCTACACTGGCTGAATAGAAGAGGCCAGCTAAAGACAACAGCGGGACAAGTACAGTCATGGTAGGAAACGAGGGAAACATCTTCCTCTACTTGTCTTCCAACTTCCTTCCAAGAGGATAATCTTCTAGGTTTGTTCAGGTTCCGTTTCCTGCTTCTCCTTGCCAATCATTCTTGCTGCCTGAGGTATCATATTAGGAATGCCATCTATGATGGGGTATGCTATACCTAGTTCTTCATTAATTAACTCATTTGTGGATTCGTTATACCTAGAAAATACAGCAAATAATGACTCATGAGATTTATTATTGTTCTTGATTTAAGAAATATACTGTATACATAAATAGTAAACTAACACAGGCTATTGGGAAGGACACTCAGCACTTGGGAGAAGAGGAACTATGCATACATTGCAAGGGGGATCCTGAATGGGAAGGACTTCAATTCACTGGCTTAAATTCCTTAGTTGTGGGTCAATTCATGGATGGACAAAGTCGCTCAGTGCAAAGCTGCAGAGCAGCCCAACATCTAGAATACCAATATTTTATTGGCGATTAGGAGGGGGAGAAACCACTCAATATAAGAAAGAAAGAAAATCTATGTAATCTTGATAAGGATTTCTGAAGGGCCATTTGTAAAAATACCATGACTCTTCTGAACCAACTATTAGAAATAGGAATTATTGAGCTGTATTAAACTAATGATTGAATTGAATAATCTACAACGTGCAAGAGATTTCATGATTTGATAGCTCTTACATGAAGATCCGTGAAGGAAATAAGATGCTTCTGACAGAAACGCTTACTCCTTCCCCCTTCCCCCAAGTCTCAGATAGATAGACAGATGATAAATAGATTGATTGAGATAGATAGATAGATAGATAGATAGATAGATAGATAGATAGATAGATAGATAGATAGATAGATAG